AATCAAAATAATACCATTAAATGTTATAATAATTGGGGGGGAGATATTTTAAGATTCAGGACACACCTGAATTACTTGAGAATGTGTAAGTAATGATTGCTTACAATTGAGTTCCAAAATGAAACCTTTTGAGGACCTTTTGAGGACCAGTATATCTTGAAATGGACATTGACTTATTTACCTTTCCCCAAGAGTTGAGCATAAAAAGTACAACAGAGTACAGAAACAGAGAAAGAGAAATGAAATGCCAGAACATAGTTTGTGTTTAAATCCAGAACTACCCTGCATAATAGCTGTTATGAGTGTTTATTGTGTCTTCTGTAATAAATTTATTTTACATGTTGAAAAACATATTGTTTCATTTTTCTTAAGGACTGTAGTAGTCCTTTATTGAATATAGATATTGTATTAGTACGAGTTGTTGTAGGGTTTAATTGTAACTATAAGAAACAGCAGCACATCTCAATCTTTTTTTGGGGTAGATTACAAGAAATTTGCAAACTTTGCAGAAATTTGTTTGTAATTTTAAATGGCACCTTTATTGGTCATACTCAGTTATCTCCTGGCCTTTATCTCTGAATGCCATGACAGCAGATGAAATTTTAGCTTTGTACTTAAAATTTTGTTGGCTTTTGTTGTTGTTTTTTAAATAAATGATACAAACCCAAAGAAGTTATCCCATACCTACCTACCTTCTACTCCTCATGTAATAAGCAAGAGCTACCATAAGAAACAGTATTAATTATAGTAATAGTTCATATAGTTGGCATGAGTCATCTCATGCTAGAGCGATATGAATGTTTTGTGAAATAAAGAATTAAAATGTTTGTGCTTCATGTTCAAGTTACATATCAGTAGATTTAGAAAGCACCAACATACTTTCTAATCTAGATTATTTTTGCTTTTAAAATGACCACGCTGTTTTAGCTCACTGTTTTCTTGTTCCACTGAGGTCTGTATAAATAGCTTACTTAAAATGTGAATGTAGCTTAGAGTAAGAAATGCCTGCTGTGTGTGGCAAGCTATGAAAGGGGAAGAAAATTCTATAGCAACTGTTGTTAAAAGGACAGATATCTTGTTTGGGCATAGGTTGTTTGGTCTGAGTATTAGCTGTCTACTTTTCAGTATAAAGTCCCCACTGGGTTTTGATCGAACTTGTTTTGAAAGTACATTGTAGATCAATACGACAGGGGCCATTTGATGGTCTAGTAGTTAAATATCAGTGGAACATGATACATAGGGCTACAAAGATGATTAAGGGAGTGGAGCATCTCCCTTATGAGGAAAGGCTGAGGGAGCTGGGTCTCTTTAGTTTGGAGAAGAGGAGACTGAGGGGAGACCTCATTCATGTTTATAAATATTTAAAGGGTGAGTGTCACGAGGATGGAGCCAGGCTCTTCTTGGTGACAATGATAAGACAAGGGGTAACAGACACAAGCTGGAACACAGGAGGTTCCACTTAAATTTGAGAAGAAACTTCTTCTCAGTGAGGGTGACAGAGCACTGGACCAGGCTGCCCAGAGAGGTTGTGGAGTGTCCTTCTCTGGAGACATTCAAAACCCGCCTGGACGCCTTCCTGTGCAACCTCATCTAGGTGTTCCTGCTCCGGCAGGGGGATTGGACTGGATGATCTTTTGAGGTCCCTTCCAATCCCTAACGTTCTGTGATTCTGTGATTCTGTATCCAATTGTAGTTGCAGAAATGAGAGTGTCGTAAGCTTTATGTGTGAAAACATCTAGAGCTATTTTACTTTATATTGATTCAATAACTTATTCATTAAATAACACTTCAAAAGGCTTTGTGTTTACAGTAATAATCTTGAAGATTTGTGGAAGTTTTATTCAGAAAACAATTTTGTTTGTTCAGAGCCTTGAACAAATAAAGGAGCTAGGACTTAATTGTATTATTTAATGCAATTCCAGTAAAGTAACAGCAAATACTGTGAAAAAACTTCAGTGTGGAATTTCTACAGGTTTCAACAGATTTTCTCATTTTCTTGTGCTGAACAGGTAGGAGCTTTAAACCGACTCATTTTTTAAAGCAACCTTGCTATCATTAGGTTCAAATAACATAGATGACTTTTGGATGTGAACTCTTTAAAGATATAAATAAATTTTCAGCTAAGGAATAGAATTTGTTGTTCTGTTTCTGAACTGTACTGATAAGGGAACAGATGCACCAATGCATGAGTGCTTCCTAAGTATCTGAAGCATCCAGCAATTAAAGGAAAGTATTTGTGAAAATATTACAGCCATGCCCTAAAAATGTGTGTTGAACTCCCATTTCCTGGTGTTCTGTTGTATGACTCGGGCAGGAGAAGAGCCATCAAGTAAAGCTATCTGTCTGCCCTCTCTTCCCAAGCTGATGTGAAAGGGAGAGCAAGTGTACCTGTTTTCTCTTCTACTGGGAGATAACCTCTCCTTTTTCTCTTTATTCTTTCCCAAGACAATTGGGAAAGTAGCGGCAGAGACATAGCATAGTTTTTATGTTTCTAAATAGTATATTTTGAAAATACTATATTCTGTCTTTGGTCCTAAATTTAATATTTCATAGTATGTCATGAGAAGTCATCTAGTCAGTTCTGCACTCCCAGAAAGCCTCTATATTTCCAGAAATAATTTCTTTGAATAACATCAATAATCAAAAAAAAAGTAAAAAAATAAGGAGTTGTTATAATTTGCTGCCTTGAAATTTTTGGAAGAACGACAGAACTGAGAAGAGAGTCTGCCCCCAGGAACACTATGTCTTGTACCACCATGTCTCACTGGAGACTATTCCATTTGTTTTGATGCACTTTGAATTTGCTAAGTAGCTTGGGGTCATCTTCTTAAGACAAGAGTCTTTAGAAGCTCAAGAACAGCTAATGCAAAGTGGGTCAGGAAGGCAGTGCTATTTAAAGTACCATGAACATTTAAAGCTATTTGACAGATCCAGCATGTCCTGCGTGTGTCCAGTTGTCTTGGGATAAGTAGTAGGTGGAGTAACTTGAGTGCTTCTCCTGGAGACTTGATCGACACAGTGCTGCATGTACTGAGATAGGTTTGTGTATCACAGTGTTCTGGCTACCCTGCGAAAGGGGAGGGATTACCTTAGGTAAATGTGTAGCTTCTACCTCTACCAGTGAGATTTCTTTTCTAAAATTCAGAAGTACTTTGCTGAGTAGGATCAGACCTCTTAAAAGAGAGACTTAAAGAAAGGGAAGCTTTTGATAGTGTAGTATGATTTTAAAATGGCATCACAGTGGTTTTATTGCAGCATTTCCTTGGATCATACTTGAACCATTTAAAAACAAAGTGCAAAGTGTAAGGAGCGGTTGAAAATGATTTAGAGCTGTTCCACTAAACTCACGTAGGACACATGCAGAAAGCACTTTGTGATATGCAGGACTGCACAGTCAGCCAGAGTGAGAGGAAAATGCGTGAAGTAGCATGTGCAGTTACACAGCAGAAAGCTGTGGTGATCATGGGTATGAATAAGTTTGTCTGTAAAGCTGTCAGTTGAAGCTGTTGTGAAGGTCAGTATAGCAGCTGTCTTTGATCTTTTTTCTTTTGAATGGCTGAGGTGTCTTCTATTTTGTTGTGGGACTGCAATGCATAGTTAGCTTTTGGGGAGTAAAATACTCCTTGGTAGATTTAGCTCTGGCGTTTTGTTGGTTTCCAGATTTTCTGTCTCTGAGACCTTTGTCAATTGTTTCTAACCAATTATTTTGGTTTTTTAGACTTGAGTGAGAGGCCTTTTGTATTTATGATAAAATCAGTTCATGACTGATCACTACGCAAACTTTGTAATGTAACTATTATTTATCCAGTTATGCCAAACAGCTTCAAACATTTATCACAAAGAATTGAGAAGAATAACAGAATTGGAGAGAATGCTCATCAGAAATGTCCAATGGTCTGTGCACACTGAAGGTAGCAAATTCTAAATGAAATCAGGGAATAACATAGAAGTCTATTTGGCTGTTTATAAATAATCTTGTTAGCATCTTCTGTTCTTAAATGAGCGATGTTTTCAGTAATAAATTTTTCAACCAACACTTAGTTTTCAATGAATATTTCTTTATCTTCTTCTTCATCAGTGTTTTAGTGCAGAGTTTTTGGTAACTATATAGGCTATGCGCTTTTCCCATGTTGGGGAAAATACAATTTATTGCATTAAGCATTAATCCCATCTGTTCAGACTTTAATGTATCAGAAGGTTTGTAGCTTTTGTTTTTAATAAAAATAAAGTAGATGTGTTTTTCAATAACTCTCTCTTAAATTTGCAGTAGATTTATCAATCTTCACCTGTTTTCATGGGATCATGGAATTGTTTGGGTTGAAAGGGACCTTAAAAATCCTCTAGTCCAACCCCTCTGCCATAGGCAGGAACACCTCCCACTAGACCAGTCTTCTCAAAGCCCTCTCCAACCTGGCCTTGAACACTTCCAGGGAGGGGGCATCCACAACTTCCCTGGTTAACCTGTGCCAGTGTCTCACCACCCTCTGGTAGAATAAATATAAAAATAATTTCATGCAGATAGATATTTTTGTACTAAATTAGAGTTTTGGTTTACTAGTATTGCTGGTTTAGCATGTCAGGGAATCGGAATAATCCTGAAGAATAATGCATGTTAAGTTATTTGTAGCAGTGGACCTGCTCTTCCTCAAAATTTGAACCACTTACTTGAATTTTTTAATGAAGAGTGCTATAAAGGTAACCAAATGTAAACCACTTTGGATTTTCCTTGCACTGCATATTTTGTAGGCTGATTTCATAAACCAGAGGCTCAAATGCAATATGTATTTTGAGAACTATTTAAATGTTGTGTGAAGATTTTAGACTGCTTTTTTTGTTGTCTATGTCTGTTTAATTGGATGCATGTTTTTCAGGATTCCTTTACAAGGAATATTTCTATGTATTGGCTATTAATAAATAAATTTGTGATGGAGAATTTTAAATAAATCAGCATATCTGTGTACTGTAGTTACCATCTAACCTTTTCTGTTTAATTTTTTTAGGGAGAGCCTATAACTTTCTGTGAGAGTAGTTTTGTGAAGCATCGTTCCAGTACTACTAAGCAGTTCCTGGAAACTGCTGTTAATCTTCAGTTGTTTAAACAGGTATGAGAGGGTAAATGACTGACTCTTAATTGTTTTTCTCTAAAACAGAACCATATTTAATTACATTTTCTTTTCTGTCAGCTTATGAAACTCTGGGTTAAAAATGTAAGTACAAATGCTTTGTGTGCAGACAGTCATCTCAGTTTTGTTGTATTTTTAAAACTTCAGTTATAGTTAAAAGGAGTGGTGGTGGTGGGGAAACTCAACAAAAAATAACCCCAGGGTGCAGAGCCAGTGCAGCATCTCTTCAGAGCCAGTCAGCAATTCATCTAAACAAGAAAAACCATGGATCTCCCAGCTTGATGGTTGAGCTTAATTTTCAACTCATGACCAAAGTATGCACACAGAGAATGTTACAAACCTGAGCCATAGGGGTGGCCTGAAGAATATTCTAGCTGATTTATTAATGCAGGAGAACAAATTCTTGAATGGCACAGCTCAGTAATCATTTTATTACAGTCTTTGAAATTATTTTTTTTTCTTAGATTTTGTTCTGTAACTCTTTTTTCTCCCTTTTCATCACATGACCTCATTGCATCAAAAGGGTGTTAAGAAACTTATTACTAAATTTTTAGAAAACTAAAGGAAAATCTGAAAGAAATCAGAAGACTCAAAAGTATATATTTGCCTGCAAATATCTGGAATGATTGAAGCATGGGAGTTCATGTTTAAGTAATCTGGTGGCCTTCTTTGAAGATAGACTACCATGATAGATAAGGGAAATTCATTATATGTAAGATCTTCTAATTTAAAAAAAAAATTGGTATTAATCAGAGACTAGTGTCTAAAGTAAAGAGTTATGCAAGGGTGATAGTTTGTAGAAGTCCTGGGAAAAGACATTTTTCCTAATTGTATAAAGGTTAAGGAAATACTGATCATAGAACTGGGCTTCTTTAATTTTACTGTGTTTTATTTTATACAATAACAAAATGTAAATAGAAATATATAATAATGAAGAAGAAATCTGAAACCTTTTGAAGTACCCAGAACATATGACTGTAATGGAAAGAAGTAACAGAGTAAACAGTGTTATCTGCATGTTGTGTATCTCAGTGCATGAAACTTTCTTAATAGATAGCTGCCTACAAGCAATGTTTCTAAATTGCTGTCACACTACTACTACTGAAGCAAGATCTTCAGTTGTAAGAAAAAGGTCTAACTCCACTGAAATAAATGGGCTTGTCAGTGTGGCTCTGTACTTACCCATTACTTTTTAATACGTGTTCAATTAAACAGAATCAGTTTACAGCTTGTTTATAGCTTGTTTTAATTTTATTTCAACCAAAGGAAATAATATATTTTAGAGGATTAGGAAATAGTAATGATTTTGATGATGTGAATGGTTTAATAGTAGTAGTAATATAAGTAGGGTTTTTTTCATTCCTCTAGTTACTGTTGTGAAGGTTACTCCTACTTTTTCAGCTAATCCTCAGCCCAGCTGCATCTTCTCTAGTTTTTCCCGCTGAAAAATGAGCTGTTTTCAAAGTTGTTTGTGTTCAGAAAGACTAAACTGTATTTTATTCTGTTCTGGAAAACCTCTTAAGCAGAAAATAGTTCTTAGAAGCAGCGTTAAACTGAGACCACGCAGAAAATAGGTATTAGAAATGCACCCTTTTTCCCATAGCTTACAAGTAGGCTTTGTTTGTCCCATTTTATAAAATTCTTCCTCTGTCCTTTTTTCTTTGTAGGTTTTTAATCTTCTCCCCCTGTCTCTTAGATTAAAACATGTTAATTCCTATGATTTAACCACTCTTTAATTTGGAAGTTGTAGTATCTTTTCACAAATGTACCAGGAAATCACTGGCAGAGTAAATTGTGGAATTAATTAGTTGGGTTACTCCCATTCAGATTATTTTCATTTTCAACATCATCTGGTTTTTACTTTGTATTGCATTTTGATGTGCTTTTTATTAACAATATCCCCAAATGCATTAGCATGTGCCAGTCTTTCATACATCATTTTGTAAATCATTAACTAACCTGTAAATAGGGTAAGTCCCCATACTTACCCTTAAATGTCATTACTGGCAACACTTCCAGCCTGACACTTTTCCATTCTTTACTTGCTGTTACCTCCTTTTTGGGCTGTCTTCATCCAACCTAAAGTTCAGGTGTATTGTTTACAGTACTCTGGTTTTACTTCATCTAAATTAGTATTTTGAGGCACATGCAAGAGGCTTTTTTTGTGGTATAGATAAATTGCATTTCCCTTGTCTAGAAAATTAGTTGACAAAGAATCTGTGAGAACCAGTGTTTGGATAACTTCTATATCTTTCCATTTACTCATTTACCATTTTTCCCCCAAAATCTATTTGTAAGCCTCATCAAATTCTTCAGGGCAAACTGACACACCAGCACTTATCACAACCTTTGTTATTTAAGTAATGGTACTGTTAGTCACTTCAACTCTGATTCCTTTACCTTGATAGACTCATAATTAATTTTTTTGTACTTCCAGATATATGTGCTGGTTTCCTTAGAATCATGTAAAAGGTGATTCTAGGGAGTTTTTGACTCATGTTTTATTCCTCAGGTATTATAATGTCCATTTCTGTGTCTCATTTTCATTAACATTTGTATTTTTGTTCTCTTATTGAACATCATATTCTTTACTGAAAATCAAGACAGAATATTTTTGAGGGGGACTATGCCTAGATTATCTAGCCTTAAACCATTCTCTTGGATTTATAAATTCTGGAGGTGTCTTTTAGATCATGTTGATGTCTTCATATTTTTGGAAGCTGAAAGGACTGTTGATATTGCTCTGAAACAGAAAACATCAAACTGTTTATGCAAAATATACATTTTCCAGGAATTCGTGGAAGTAATTTCTGATAAATACCCTGATATGGATCACAGCTGTAGGGTTGTGTGAAGTTCAGTTTGCTAATTTTAGTTTGCTAAAGCTGTTTTCTGCCCTGAATAGATTTAATTTAAAACCCCGTGGTTATCATTATTCTGAAAATGTTAGGATAATTAATCGGATTATAATTTTTTTCTTAAAAAAGAAAATAACTGTTATTTATATATGAAATATGCTTATTTCCTGGTTAATTATTCTTTTTTTTCTTCAGATTAAATATTTGTTCTCTTAGACTGTGTAATTACATACTTCTTTTCTCGCTGGTTTTTTTTTCTTCATCTTTTTGATATTTGTACTGTTACATTTACTATCTATTTGTTAGCTTTTCCTGAGCCTTAGAAAGGCTCCCTTTTAATTAGGGTAACATGGAAGGTAGCTAATCTTTACTTCAAGGTACAAAGATAAGCAATTAATAGTTGCATCTTACATGTCAAATACTTCTGATGAGTGTCCAGGGAAAATATTAATTAATTCCTAGAACTAGCATGATGAAACCTAATGCTAAACTGTCTTTTTAAAGAATGTAATTGTATAAGTAACGTAATCCGCAAGGTTTATTGCGATTTGTTCCTCAAATGGTGGAAAGTGCTAACTAGAAAAATAAATAATGAATGCAGGATTAAGAGTTGAAGGATCCTAAGTCTTTGAAAATTGTAAGTAATTTCAAATTTCATTTGAAAGCTTTATGAGCTGAGCTCTCTTCTTGCAAGCTATTGCACTGTTATTATTTGGAAATCACATTTATTATGTTTTCTTTGCTTCTACCAACTTTTTGTTTCTAATAATGGGTGAATTGATTTGGAATTTTTACTTCTGCCTAAGTATATTATTTGGTTTAGGTCACAAACATAATTTCTCCTTCCCCACCCTTTATCGCCCATGCAATAAGATCTTCTGAAGTGGATATGGTCTATATTTTGGTTTAAGAATTCGAAATGATTTAAGGTTTATGATAGTTCTGTCTTTAGTTAGTTTAAAATCCGAGAGTAGCACTGGAATTATTGGTTTTCACTGAAAGTGGTAGTCTACTGAGGGCCCTCTGGATCTCAAAGTGAATACATTTCTTGAAATAGCAGGCCCAGATTTTTTGAGAGAGTGTGGGTTTGAAAAATGGGGGGAGAAAACCATAAAGTGTATGTGTAATTCCATGTGCTATTATTTTCATATAGCAATTTAAGTGCCACCACTAACAGTAAATTACTCAAAAGTAATAACGACTGCTGCCACTACTAACGCTTATAATTTCCTTTGAATAATGTCTCCAATATCTTTTTGCTAACAGTTTTGTTTGTCAGTATTTACATTAAGTACTCAGTTGGAGTGATCCTCTAAAACCTAAAATTCAGTCAGTGTCTCGCCCTTCTGTTGATAGAATTTTACAAAATGATGAGTATGTCCATAAATCTTAAGTTAGTTTATAGTATGGAATGAATTCATAACTTTCCCCAGAGAGATAATGTCTTACAGTTCAAAGGCTGGGGATGGGAGGGGGCATTGTGTGGTGGGTTTTTTCCATAGCAGTAGCTAAAGATGCTCTTATCTCTTTTATTTACTGTGAAATAATCCAGTGATCCCATAGTGGACTGACCATGAACCAACCTATTTGGAAAGAAGCCAACTTGGAGTAAAATGAAAAAATAAGAAGGAATTTAGACAAGAGAGAGGGAGAAAAATTATATTCATGCTTGCCTTATTCTTGCTGCTGGATTTTTGTGCTCTGAGAAAGTAATTTGTTTCATGTCACTAGTCTGTTCATTGACAAGCATCAGATTGTCACTGACACTGTTTGGATAATCTGTGGCAAAATACGATCTAGCCAAATAATTAATTGTGGTTACTTCTTGTGTACTGCTTAGTACCAGTGACTAGCTCGTAACTCTTTCAGGAAGATGAACTGTGTATAATTGGAAAAAGGCTTTCTCACTTTATCTCTAACTTGAGTTAGCCTTTTCAAAACAAAAGAGGGAGGAGTTGAAAGAATTTTAAACCTTTAAGAATGTGCTTGTTATACTTCGTTGAAGCCCAGTAATTCTTGAAAAGAATGTATTCATTCCTTCTGAGAGGTTTAATCATTCATTATCTTATTTTGACTTCTTCTGACTTATTGGATAATTTCAGGCTTTGTATATATACTTGCATGTGGATACAAATCCTTGCGCTCATGCAGCTGTAACCTCTGCATAAGGACTACTGTTGCAGTACGCATCTGTAGATGCAACTAAATAAGTGTTAGTGGTTAAAAAGAAAACAAAAACAACAAAAACAGCAAACAGATGTGTTAGACCTTAAAAATACAGTGGTGTCAACCCTGAACTGTGCTAGTCAGATGGAGAGGGTCTTAGGCGTCTGCCTTGGCATAATGTTTAGCACTTAGTGTCACATTCCTATACAGTTAAATGAGATGTCCTTTAAGTCCTTTGGCTTGCACACTGCCAAAAATTTGTAAATTTTGCATAATATAGATCATGTCCTTGATCTGTGTTAAATACTGACATTTCTGCTGCTAATAGTTGCAACTGCTCTTCCAAAATCCATCTAAAATAACTTTATTATCCTTAAGCCATATGTTGTCTTGAACACTCCTGTTCCATTATAAAGTACACACGAAACTGTAACACCATAAAGCAATAGAAGGTCCAACAAAGTGCGATTTTTTTTTTCTTATTTTTTTTTCAGTTTATTGATGGTCGGCTATCAAAATTAAATGCAGGAAGAGGATTCTCTGATGTTTTTGAAGAAGAAATCACAGCAGGAGGTTTTAGTGGAGGTACAGAATTAATTTAAGTGTACTTATTGACTCTTCTTTTTTGAGACCTGTTCAACATGGTGATGTCCTCATGGTGTCCTGTAAATTTTAGAAGTCATTAATCTTGCTACTGCTTCATTGTTTCCATCCATTCTTAAAAAGGCTTTAGCCTTTAACAAATGACTGCTGGGACACACACTATTATGTATCTAGTTGTATCAGTATATTAAATGAAGACACGTTGGTTTAATCCAGTAAAGTAGATTTCAATATATGATGAAATATCACTGTATCATTTACATTTTACCTGTACATTTGTATAATACGATACATTCTGTGTAAACTGTGTCTTTGAAATAATTTTGAAATTTGTGCCCCTGAACCTTTTCTAGATAGTTACATTTTCTGTAAACACTTCTCCTTTTCGTATCTAATTATTGCTGCAGTGCAGAAGTCAAAGTGATTTCCTGAATTTTTAGAGAAGTTTTCTTTCTCCAGCAAATTTTTAACATTTGTAATTCATCTGAGAAGGGACAATGGAAGTTTACCTTCTTCGTAAACAGAAATATTCCTTGTGCTGTTTTCCCTTGGTTGTGTTCACTGACAATTGTTATAATGCTTTTCACAATCACTAACTTACAAAGTTAACCCCTCTGGAAAAGTGTGTGCTGAATCTATTCCTGATTATTACAGGATTATTGAATGGTTTCCTATTAAACATTTAATACAGCTCTATTTTTATTTGAGGTATCATAGATGGTATCAAAATATTGAATCAAAATATGCATGACAGCACAAATACTATTTTACGGTCAATCCTGAGAGTAGTGTAGAAGTTTCCACAGTAAATGGAGGTTCTGTGATTTGAGCAAACCCACCAAGTTGCCTATGGCAGCTTTAGATGGTCTTCCTTTGCTAGACTACCCTTAAATGGGCATTTATAAAGGAGAGGATTTGACCCCCATGGAGAATCAAGTGATGCAGAGCCATCTTCATCTTTTTTATACTTGGACTACATAAATCTTTTGTTCAAGATTTTCACTGCGTTCTCCTGCCCTCTGTGTCTTGTGCTATGATCTAGCACATACTTTTTCCTTGCGTGCGTTTTTCCTTGATTGAAGTGTGGTTAGTAATACAGAGATTTACTTCTCTTCTGCTTTTTTGGGGTAACTTAATGCTGCTCTGTAAACTGATTTTGGGCATTGAGCATCCATTATTCAGATAATTATGTCAGTATTCAGGGTTGGTTTGCTGACTGCAGTTAGGGGGTCAAGGAGCTGCAATAAAACTGCAATAGAAGTTAGATAAAGCTTGCTTCTTGGCTGTGCTCTGGCAACCTGTGAACCACGTCTCCCCTGGCTCTGCTCAGGAGAGAGTGCTCGGCATTGCTGGCAGCTCTCGGTTAGCTTGCACCGCGCGCGTACTTTTCAAGTCAGACAGACTGTATATTGCCAGGCTGTGGACAAATTGCTTAGGGCACATATTCAGTATTTACATAACTGCTGTCTCATTATCATTATGAAGTGCAGGGCTAACAATATGTATGCAATTGAAGGTGACATTTTGTGACGCTAATGGGGTAGAACTATGATCTCTTTGCAGAGTTAACTCCCATCAACTTTATCAGGAAGCTTGAGGTTTTAAAAAAACAGGTGAAGCCCAGCCTTCAGAAAAGTCACAGAAAGTTAGTGTAAGCTTCAAGCTGTTAAAAGGACAGGTGAACACATTCTTAGTTATAGAGGATATAATTTAAAAACAGTGTTTCTTTAAGTAACCTCTTTTTTAATTTGCATTTTTCCACACATGCAAGCATAACTAAACCAGCATACAAAATTAAACTGGAAATTGGAGAATAAAACATAATTTCATTATTTTTATGATTTTTTTTAATAAAGTGATCAAAACCTATTTCCCTGTAGACTGTATGTGAAAAGATTTTTGTCGGCCATCTTCATTACTGTTTGCACTATATACTTAAATTTTTCTTTTCTGTTACATGCATTATTCTGTGGAAGTATTAGTTCTTGTGAGCTTTATGTAACCTTCCATACAAGCATATAGTGATGATTGATTGACTTAGCACTTGAATTTCTTATAGAATATATCCATTGAAGTAATTTGTAATCACATGAATTTTACTACTGCAGTAATTTTTTTGGGTTGGTCTGATATCAGTGGTGGTAATATAAAAAAAACCTGAAAACTTCTGAACCTTTCTTTTAGTAATAATTTTTTTAAGGAATCAGCACCTTCTTGCTAGAATTTCAGGAAGTTGAACTTTAGCTGAGGGTATCCAGTGTTAACATGGCCTTTTCTGTAGATGAGTATTCCTCTATTTTCTTTATTGCCTTCCTTGAAGTCTCTCTACACAACTAGAAGATGGTTAAACTTCTTGGTGATTTTCTGTGATCTCCTTTACTATCTCTAGTAGTTGCTTAAGTCTCAGGCTATGACAGAGAGAGCTCAGATATGGAGTCACTGTTAAGGACACTATGAGCCAGATGATACATGAATATTTTTTGTAAGAATTTGAAGTTATGAAATGTTACGTTAGAGAAAGTACTTATTGTTCATTGACATTTCATTAACACATTAGAAGTGGTTAAATTTCCCCTTACTACATGTTATCTACAAGCTACTTTGGTAGTTCCAGGGAGCCAGATCAAGGAAGTAAAAAATGAGTAGTTTTTGCTTTAGGTTGCTCTTTGACATCCTTACTAGGTAGGATCATAATGATCATCAGATTCTCTCCTTTCTAAGCCAGCATTGCTTTTGCTTGTGCCATCATTTCTAAGAATCTGTCTGCCTCAAAATTACTTGTAAAGAATTTAGTGAAATGGGTGAAAGTGCCTGATATGAGTATAAACAGCTCATTTTTTTCACCTCATTGAGAAACTTGGAAATACCTTTTACAATGATTCAGTTAGTTCTCAGCCACGGTCTAGAAGAATGTTTTGGCTTTCCACTAACCAGTACCTTAGTTAACTGATTATTGCAAAGCTTAAGAAGTTTTGAGAACTCCTGTTAAAAGTCTGTAATGTCAAGCATGTAGCAGTATAGTCGTTCCAAAATGGATAAACTTTCTGTTTGAAACTTCAGCATTCTTGTCAACGTGAATGTCTTGTCTAGGGTTAGCAACAGCTCACAGGACCAGAGTATTCAAGTGACTGATGTACTCTAAAACCTTCTCAGGGATCAAAGACCCAATCGTTGAAGTTCAGTTTAAGCACCTGTGGGAAATAGTATTAGTTTCTTCATCGAGTGCTTGGTAGAATTTAACCCTGTCCTTCATGGCCAGCTTCGTGGCACAGTAGTCCTTGGTAGTCCCACAGAAGCCAGTAGCTCTCACTTGCCTGTCAGAGGTTTTCTTTTGTAAAAGAAAGTAGATACAGTTAATAATTTAAACGGATTTTTCCTGCACAGGAACAAATAGTTGTGCCGTAATCCTTAGATTTTTATCCAATTCTTTTTCCTTGGGATGGTACCATCTGTAGTCCATGTCACTTTTGTACTTGAAAGTTTGCCCAGTGGGGTCATTATGCTTGAATGTAGTTCTTTATATATTATTCTTGCCTTCGAGTTGGTGTTTTTCTTTTTAGACTATTTAGTGGTATGTTACCTTATCATAGTTCTAATTTGACTTTCTACCTCGTTTGGAATTAAAAACTGTTGAAATGATATGCTTTTACAAAGAAAATAGAAAACACAAAATAAGAGATATCTAGGTTTTTGTCTTAGTGTGCTCGTGTTCTTATCTTTACATTCCTTGTCTACCTGGGAAGAATGAAATTGATGAATAATCATCTAAGGGAATTTTTTATGCAGATTGTGAGGAGGGTTGAAACACTTAAAATGTTGAATGCATGTTTTGATTGTGTTACACTTTACATTTCTGTTTCAGGAAATTCAAGATCTTACCAGCAGTGGATGCACACAGTGAAGGTATAAACTTGGTTAAGTAATTATACTGGCCATCCTGTTCTTTAAATCTTTGCCCTTTCGTGCACTTCCTTTACATATATGTATTGGTAAAAGTTCATTCATTCGCCAGGAAAATGTAATTACATTCTATAATAAATATCCTGTCTATGGTATATGCAATATTTCTTTTTTTTTTTCTTGAAGATTTTTTTTTAAAAGTCTCATGCACAAAATATGCCAAAACACACAAGATTTTTCTTTCTGTGTAGTCAGGGTTTTCACTGCTTTCTGTATCATGTTACATTCCATAATGGTGAATTAGGTGCGACATTGCAATTTGATATGAAGTTTATCACTTCTAGTAAATAGCAATTTTGTTAATATGGATTTGTGCAGTTTGGCTGGCAGAAGAACCTAGATATAACCTTGTTATTCTGCAGGATTTGCAAAATATATTATTTTAGAGTAAGAGAATTCTTGTGTGTTTAAATAATCTGTCAGGTCAAAGTATTTTAAAGTTGCATAACAAATATGATAGGAACACATGAAAAATAGCCGTAACTTCTGAATTTATTTTGAAATGGTAACAATGAATGAAAATATATCATTCTGCTAGAATGCATTGATAAAGGTGTCAGCTGTGATAATGACATACTGTAACCCTTGTGTAGCTCCAGACAGCAGGTTGAGGAGGAAACACAGCTGTGGTTATTCTTACTGATTTAAAAGGAACTGTTTATTTTTCCTTGCTCTTGTCTTAACATTTGACTTGTGTTTAGATGTACTAAAATACATTTTTTCTGTATTTCAGAAAGGCAGTGCACTGATCAACACAGCAATGACCAAAGCCACTCCAGCTGTGAAAACAGCATATAAATTTGTAAGATCATCTATTTCAAATAAATAATACATAAAAATACCACAACTTCCTACAACTCTCAGTTCTTCCTGAATACTTAAAAACCTAAACATTTTATGAACATAATGCAGAAAAACACTTCAGCTTGTAGAAAGTTTTAACTTCATTTGTTTTCCCTTATAGCACTAGCATTTAGAGTTGAGTCAGAGTTTTCCAGATAGCTTGTACATATCAAGAGACTTTTTCAAAGCATCAGTGTGCTGTTTTTGTTTCAATCATAGCACATACTAGAAGCTTATTTGCTTATTAGAAGCTTATTTAGATATTCAATACACATCTGTATACTCCTTCTAACCTGGTGACAGCATGATTGAAATATGGACTCTGAAAATAGAAATTCTCATTTGCACTAAGGTCCCGTAAGACAACACAGGCATAATGTGAGTGTAAAATATTTTGTAAATGTTACATTTATATGGAATATAAATATAATGTTATAGTATAGAGGTATATAGTGTTAACATGATGTGGAGATATAGTCCTGGCTTACACAGATGCAATTTCACTTTGACACTAAGTGCTGCACCATTGAGAAGATGTGGCAAACCATCAGTAATGTGTGGAACAAGTCTTTTCTGTCATCTGCTCTTTTAAAGATGATACTGACATACTCCTGTTTAACTGGATTTAATGCTTATACTTTTGAGCTTAACAGATCTTGTTTTCAAAGACCGCCTAACCAATAAAGCATGTGAAATTATACGGTATTATGCAGTATGGAAAAACAGCAGTAGTGTAAAATGAAGTGGGAAGTATTTCAAGGCTGCATTTTTAATATATGGGAAAAGACTTTTGGCTTCCTTTTTGCTTTTCCAAATGTTTCACTGGTTGGATGCATAATAAGTAGCCCTGAATAAATCAGTACATCAGTCTAAGCTAGTGTATTATAACTAAAGTTTTCAAACAGAATTTTTAATTTTACATCAGTTGAGAAACACAGCAGTCATGGAGAGAAACAGGTAAATAAATTAGATATACTTTGTATTCATGGAGTCATTTATAATTTAAAAAATGGTTCATTAACAGGTTATCTGCAAATTATTCTTCTTCAGTTTGCACTAGCTTAGGCTGTTGTTACATGCTCTTCTCCCAGACTTCAATTTTGATAATTATGTCCTTGATAATAAAGATTCTTCAAAGTGAACTTCTGTGTATGCCAAGAAATACTGGTGAATTTAGTGAGGATCTGTGTGTATAAGGTAATCATATTTTTACCCCATTTAATTTCTTAGGCTGTTGCCCTTTATGGATCCTATTACTAGAGAAATTACATATGATTTTCTTAATTGCTAAATTAATTAATTAATTAGTAGCCTTGAGTAATGTGGCATCATCCTTTAGTTAGACCAAAGCACTCCCAGAATTCATTCAAATGTTGTGAGCATGATCTGGAAAGTTTAAAGTGGCTCTCGGGTTAGCATCTGCTACATGGCACCACAATGTGCTGTTATTGAGCTTATAGATATATGATTTAAGGATAAAAAAGACTCTCTGACCTCTTGATTCAAGAAAATTATTTTATTTTTCTGAATTTCCATATATAGGAAAACAGAAAAATAGGTGGTTTCCACATATTTATGCCCTTAAATATATCCTTAAAAGTGCTATTTTCAAGACAACCTTGAAAACTTTTGTGTTTTTTTCCCTATGTTCATATAAGAAAGATACCTTTTCTTCTATTAGGGTTAGGATTTTTGGTGGTGTCCCCCCATCTTTTCTTTTTTCCTACTCCCCTACTCTCTCTCTCTGTCTCATTTAAAAGCTTTTTAGCGTAAGTACATGGTATTCCGTATTGATAATTCGTTACTCTGTAGAAAAACATTCCTGACTGTTTTCTGTGCAGCAGTGATCCTTGGCTGCCTATTTTAATACATACAGAATTCTCCCAAAAATACCAGCACTGTGTTGTTCAGCAACACTGGGCAAAATCTCCATCTGCATATGAAATCATTTCATTTCTCTTAAGATTGATGTTGCCCTGCAAGTTGCCAGACTGGAACACTGTAGCAGTCATCTTGAAAATCTTAACATTTTTCCAGCATGCCTTACTGCTAAAATACCCTTTCAAATTTAAAGGACCATTTCAAATAAAGGAGTGATGTATATGACCATTTTTAGCCTGTCATTGGTAATACTGGAGAATTTTTGAGTATGTGTGTTTTCACAGCATCGGCATGCATGTAGTAAAAAAAAAAAAAAGTCCTTAAATATACAGACTATGCATGAATAATATAAAATATACTGACAATGCATGTATGAAATTTGTGGTAAAGGTATTTTATCACCAGATGTTTAAAAAAAAAAGGTAAAATAAGTACGGCATCGTGTAGCATGTTCCTTGACCGCTACCAGTGTCTTACAGAGCTACTTAAGTCCTTTTATTTTTCTAGGCAAAAAATCAGGCAAGGCAAGGAATAAAAGAAGTGAAGAGTAAGTTAAAACACAAGGTATGTATTACATTTTTAACTTCCTTACCTTGCTTCCTGTGTCAGTTTGAAGCTTATACTTTACAAACCACATGAGATTTGTGTTTTTAATGACTTTTGAAATATGCTTAGCCCTTTGTTCAACAATACATTTTTCATAACGAGCCCTCTGGCAACTATCTGTCATTCTATGCATCCACTGAATAATCTCTTTATTGTTTGCATATTTTATCATAGAACAACAGAGGTCTTCAAAGATACTTTAACAGGATGTATGTTTTCATAAAGTTGATTGCTTTGATATCACAATCGAAGTCTTTGCTTCAAGCTGAGAATTTGAGATGGGAGAGTCTTGCAGTACAATGTATTTCAGAGGGTGTAGTTGTCCGTTTTGGTTTGATAAGATATGTGAACAATGTTGACATTTAAAAAAATGAAAAAATGGTTCCATTTTGCAAAAGCAAAATAGCAGAAATGTCAGAAAAGGTTTTAGGCATTTTGCAGCAGCTTTCCCATTGAAAATTTTGTTTCCACACAAGATTTTTCTGTAGGGAGAAGGAACTGGTTTTTAGATTTATTTTTTTTTTAAATGCTATTTTAAGAAAACTTTCAAAAATATTTCCTAGACATTTGAACAATTCATATTTTAAATGACAATGTTGATAATTCGGCTTCTTGAAAAGCTAAATTTGATTTTCTTACTACAGATGGTATTTTCATGACAGTAATAGATTGTGGCAAGATAATTTTGAATGCACTCTGCATGCATAATATGGAGGGTACGTTTGCAGATAATGATTATAAATAAAGGAATTTAAATCTGTTTTGTTGCGTAGGAGAGTGAGGAGGAGTATGGAACTTGCAGTGCTGGTGCAGTACAGCCTGCTCCTGTCTACACCTTGCATTATGAGAAGAGAGCAAACTCAGAAAAACGAAGACTGGCACAGGTAAGACACCTGAAACTTCTGTTCTTATTCACATACATATGACATTTTTTTTTTGCCGCTTATAGTAATGCATTGGTGAATCTATTTGAGATTATTTTACTGTCTGTGTTTAGATAGTGTGATTAAAAGGCTGTGTTTATAGAAGTACTGCTATACTGCTTGAATGGAGGAAAAATGCTATACGTATTTCATCCCTGTTGAACGGGGGGAAAGCAGGAGATGTGTAAGTATGGACTGGAGATTTAATTCTTAAATACTGTTTTTGGTAAAGGCTTCTCCCAGCAAATACATTCTGGTCTATTCACAGATCAGTGTTAAGCTGTCTCTTTTATTTTCTTGTAGTGGGACATGTTAATTCTGTATTTCTAATAAATTGATTTGGCAGTCATATGACCTTTAACTTTGCTCAGTTAATTACGATTTATTATTTTACTAATACATCAGCTAGTTAATACAGTGCCAGTCTCTTGTCCTTTTGTTCTTCAATACTTTCTAGTCCTGATTTGAAGTAACAGGTGTAGTGTCTCCACTCTGGAAATGTTTTAATGTCTTTGGATTAATTTTGACAGTTTTATTTCAAAGATATAAATAAAATTGATTTTGTGACACTTTTTTCTGGGAATAAGTAGCTGCATATGTACATATTTTAATGTTCTTTCAGGAACTTGTGAGCAGTAGATTTTCTTCACTGCGTATCAGAAGAAAATATACACAATTCTGAATGAATGAATATAGACCTCTAACGTTAATAACAGGAATGCTTCTTAAAATATTTGTTTCTAAAAGATAACCGTCATTTTAATATATAGCAACCTCCTTTCCACCAAAATAATTTGATAATGTGAGACACTAAAAAGCTTTTAATACATTATAAGCCAACATTCACAGATTACTGTAGGTGAGTCTACAGTTGTACATATCTGTGTGAATGCATAACACGTATGTACCCTTGCAGTCAGTGAATTTTTATAGGCTGCTTTTATTAAAGAAGTCTGCAGGAATTTACTGTTATGGTTGTGCTGCCTGCTTTTAGGTACAGGAGTCTAGGGATACAAAGGAATATAATTTAGCTTGGTACAATTAAACATTTCTTTTGAAAGCCTGTGTTTGGACAGAACAATTTAGGGTCTGTATGTTTTTGTGTTCGTACAGCTATAAACTGCTAAGTCCCTTGGTATCTTTGTTGACATTTCTACCAGTCATCTTTCAGTTTTGAAAACAAGACAGAAGGAGTGCGTATCCATCCATGTTTTCTTTTACTTAAATACATACACACATGCGTGTTTATGTATGTATATGCACACATACATATAAATGTACACATATAGGATTTGTTTACTAGGGAACCTTGTAACTAATAGCCCCGCAGTTTTGCCCTGCTGCAAACAAAGGGTCCCATGTCTTCTCCCAGCTCCTGTCCCAAAAGTCACGTGAGCCAAGCGGGCAGGAAGGAGCAAATGGTGATCACGCCCCAAGAGCTCTGCTCTGGCACAGATTGCTTCACCTTTCACTCACACTATTCCCTATTTTCCTCCTCCCACAAAAAAAACCCAACAAACTAAATATTTCTAAAAAATAATAGTTTACTGTTGCTACTCTTGTTTTTGTTTTTATTCTTGGTAAGTATTTGAATAAGATTTTCATAAAGAATTTGCATTTATGTTAAGTGGTAATTTTAAACTTTATATCCAAATAAAAGACTCTATTTGTATTCACAGGAGCATGTGTATGAGAGAGACTGTTTGATCAGTACTGAATCTGCCCTTTAAAAGAAGTGAATTTCACAGATTGCTATTGTTGTCAGGTTTAATCCTTTTTTCTGTAACTCTTTATCTTGCAAATGAACCTTTCCTCCCAGATTTCTAAAATGGTGCCCATCAGTGTCTATATCAGTATAAGGATAGGACTAATGTGCAGTTCATGCACTTTGATGTATATGTAAAGTAAGGACCAGATACTGGTTAGTTTGCAATGTCAGTATATTTGAATATCCTCCCAAAACCTATACAAACAACAAGCAAAAGAGAGAGCTTGCTTTTAATTGTCATCTTGCTTCCATCAAGAGTCACCTCTGTACTTTATTACTATCTTTTCAATACTGAAGCATTTAGAAACTTGTAAATTAAAAGAATTTTGTGTTAAATTTTATGTCATATTAGATACGTGCATTGAGCTTTTCATTCTCTACTTCTTGGGAACAGTTAAACATAAATACTAACTAATAGTTACCTGAGATGCTGTAAAACATATTTACTTTGAAACATTATGTATGAAGTGAAAGTTTGCTTCACTGTAAAAGATCATTTTAATGATTGTCCATAACAGGATTTTGGGATCTGGGAGGATGTTTCCCTTACAATAGGAAGTGAATCTGCTTTTACCCCCACAGAATAGTAGTTTGTATGTGGGTCTGCTAATTAGTACGGTTATTTCCTGTTTTGTTGATGAGGCTTTAATAAATGTCAAGGGTACAGCCATGAAGATCTCCCAATTAGGCTTTGCGTTTGTAAAACCCAACCCCTTTGCTTTTGTGTGAAGATGACAGTTCCAACTGCAGCCTCAGCCTAACAGGACTCAAGGGAAAGGATACTTCTCTGGTTTTATTGAAAACAAGGCCAGTTTGGCCCAGGGAGAATACCAGCACTGGTCACAGTGCAGAGCCATTTTTAACAATGAATATTTACTAAGCTTTATCACTGCTGTCATAGTGGTTTAATTGTATTTTTTTTTGTTGGATTGGCAATAGGCTTTAAAAAATTAAAAGTAAAGCAAAACAAATTATAGCATGTAAAATAGCTGTCAAAACCTAATCAGAGGACAAATATTTTAATGTGTTATTGCAAATTGTAGTAATCAGTTTGCCCTTCTATAAGTTGCATTTTGAAAGTCTTTCCTAAAAAAAGATATAACGGGAGTGCACTCATACGTGCCTGTGTGCACGCGCGTGTGCGCCCACACAATTAATCTTTGCCTAAGATGAATTGTTCTATCTCTAATATTCATTTGAGCTTGCTCTTGCTTAGGTTAGCTGTTCTAGGCTTTTTATACGTGTGCAAGCTTAACTGTGAACTATATTGCAAGTCAACATTAACAGATGGATTGCCCTAAGCAAGGGAAAACCACAACAACAAAATCTAGTGAAAGTGGAGGATTGAAGCTTTTTATTGTTAAGCCTTATTAAAACCTTGGCATGGGCACTGCTGTTAACTGTTTCATGTCTAGATCTAATAATATGTCCCTGGCATGTTGTCTCTCCTACATTAATTAGGTATGTAGAAGATAGAAGAAACTACCAGCTAAAATTTTTGAAATAAAAATTAATGCAGCATTAATGTTGCACCCTCAACTCTGGGGTACCTTGCCAATGATATTGCTGAGTTCCTTTAACTATTGATGAGGAGGGTACAGCAGTGCATGTGTTAGATTACTGTGCATTCAGGTTTTGCATAATCTATTTTAATTCTGTTTCACTATACGCTCCCAGGTAATGCACATTTCTGGGTAGACAGTGGGACCTAAATGCACTCAGAGCTCTATAAAATTGTTCCTAATTAATATATAACTAAAAAGAGAATCTGTTTCTTATGAGCCTGGATAGAATGCCAGGAAGATCTGTTTTATTTCATGAATATGATCTTTGTAATTTTACTGTTATCTCAGGTGATAGGGTAGCTTCTTTAAAATGAAACATTTCAAGCTGTCAATAGTCCCAATGTATTTAGTGGCTAATAAAACACACTTGAAGATTTGCAGAATACCAAATAAGAACTACCAGTTCACTTCATAAGTAGTGAGTTACCAATGCCCTCTTGTCTCTGAGGAAATGTGTGTAATACCTGTACCTTTAGGCTTGCACTACTTTGCAGCCATAATGGAAATGGGCATTTGGATTCTCAGTGTGGATTTACCAGGAATCTGTGTGTGTCAGCACTACTTTAAATGTTCATATATCGAAGAAACCAAGGGAACTGCTTCCTATGACTTTGCAGGATCTAAATACAGTGTCTAAGAAGGTTTTGAAAACACTTTTGCGTAAGGTAATAAAGGCCAAGTTAGACTAAACTTTTTTCTTGGTGTTTTCAAATGGAAGAAAATTACCGTTTTTGAGTCTTTTAAAAAAGCATATCACAAATGTAGCTTTTACACTTTTATTGAAGTATATCCCAGTAACTAGACAATATGTCATTCAGCTTGCAGTAGGTATACTTGGCTCCTGTTCAACAAAGATAGTAAGTGTCAGGCAGGAAGATGTGTTCAGAATAACCTTACCTTCAGGCGTGCCCCATTTATCAATACTCCTACAACAGCCAGTAAAATAAATGACATTATCATTAGCTACAAAGGCCTTCCAGTAACTGATTACCCTCCTAACCTGAAAAAGGTGATGAGAGTGGGCTATTTTGAAGACCTTTTTTTCCAGGAACATAAAAGAGGAGAGGAAGTGGCTGTGATAATGCAGTGCTGAATATACATATTCTGTAGAAAGTGACTGAACCCCTTTAAGGAAAAAAAAGAGGGAAAAAAAATCCTCCAGACAACCTCACAATAATTTCAGAAACTTAAAAGCTCTGATTAAGGACATTTATCTATATTTGGATTCAGATAATGTGCTTGAGATCACACCTATGCCTAGCATCCACAGATAATACTGGTTATATAGCCAGAGGTATCTTCTACTCTCTTCGACTAAAATATTACAAATTGACAGATATCATAAACAGTAAGAGCTAGTTTTTAATATAAATATCTGTAAAACACAGTTTTAAAGTAAGCTTTGTTCAATGAGTAAATTCTGTGTCTTTAGCTAATGTGGTATAATTCGAAAATATTGTAGATATCATTAGTGTCCTTTAATTTTGAAAAAAATCTTTTGTCTTGGTGTGTCAAGTAAGATCTCTTCATTCTGCAAAACAGTCAGATTTCATTTAAAAATGAAAAGCTAGGCAGCAAAAATTCAAATTGTAGATTACGAGAGTGCCCTCTTGTGGCTTTATTGCCTT